TGACCTCCTTCTCCGACTGAGAATATGCCAGACCTCTGCTCGCTACTCTTTCCCGACCGACACGGTCGGGATCGACTAGGAACGACTGACCGGGGACGCCCGCTCGGTGAAGGGCCCGGGGACCAGGCGGAGCAGATAAGGTAAGGTGCTCAAGTCAACTGCAATACCGAGGACCGTACCCTACCATGCCCTACACACCTACAGGATGGTGCCACCAGGCCATGCCAGATGGACACTATACAACCTTCCAGACGCGTCAGAGCACAAACAATGTTGTAGGCGTCGACGTTTGCCGTACCAGGCGAACACGGTAGAGCCTGCAAGATGCGTCTGAACATGAACAGTATTGTGGGCAACAAGACTAGGTAGCACACGTATACACTCTCTCTCTTTCTCTGACTTCTAACGACATCCCCTTTGACTATAAAAGGGGATGAGCTCTCTCCTAAAAGCTTTCTGGCTCTCAGAAAAAAAGAAGCTAGACAATTTGAGCACTCGAGGACCTGAGAACTCAAATAGCTCAATAGCTCTAGAACTCTAAAGCTACATAGAGCATACGTTCCAATACTTAGCGCACGTTAGAACACCTGTCACTCTCTTCCCTTCGGTTCAGGGTCCGACCGGGCCTTTAACACCCCCTTCTCATTCCTACCCGTTTGTAACCCCACAACAAACTTTGAGCACCTGGGTTCAGAAATAAAGTCATCGACCGACTGAAACTGGACGTAGGGCACATTGCCCGAACTAGTATAAATCCTGTGTCATTGAGTGTTAGACCACATCCGATCACAACGCACGGCAAAACTACAAATATTCACTTGTTGGTCACTTTTCGCACCGACAGTTTTGTTTTGTGGTTATCCTTTGAGGGAACACTAAAACTAAAACATAAAGCAAACGAAACATAGAACGAAATTCATAGTTTATATACACCACCATATATATACATGACTTGACAAATTTGTTTCTATTCTTGAAATAGGCAATGCTGTTGCTTTCCAAGGTATATCCCAACCTCGTTGAAAATTCAAACGGAGATGGATGGATGTTTAATGCTGTTGATTGCCTACTTTCATTTATGGTATGATTATATAAAGCATTTATTTAGACTGAAATATTTATTTGTCAAGATCATACAAAAAAAATACTGATCGAGTCTTGCATCAACCCCATGGTAAGTTAACACATTAGAATATTTTTTTATTGGTAATTGATATTTGTTAAGGATATGAATGTTGACGCATAACTAAATCTTCTATCCATATTATTTATGACGTGCTAACTGTAAGGATACGTTAGCAAAGGAATATGAAAACAGATGATTTTTTATCTACCATGGTGAACTGTTAGACATGCATAAGTCATATCCCCATTTGGAACAAAATATCTACCATTCTCATGGGCATCAAAATTTTCTCCTCTATCACAACTTTGTTCAAGTTTATTTAACAAATCACAATCATATGTTTATCATGAAATGCCCTAGAGTCATGAGAATGTTGTTTCCAACAAATCAGTACTTTCCTTGAATATGTACCTACCTATAATTTGATTCGCAATACTTATGTTGTCAGTGGGATCAAGAATGAAAAAGAATTTCATCCTCGGTTTGAACTAAGTCAAACTTTTGTAAGTTTGACTGAATTTATAGCAAATAATATCAAGATCTGTATCTCCAAAGAGGTTTCTCATGAAAATATATTTGATTATCCATCTATAATACTCATTATGCATCATAAATATTACTAATTTTTTTTATATATATAATTGATCAAAGTTGCGATGAATTGATGTCACACCCAATTTTAAGGATAAAATTGAATGCACTAAACTCATGTGTGCCCAGGGATCAGTCACACACATAAGTTGACAAATTACAAAAGTATCATCACGGTGTATCTTACATCACGTTTAATACCATAACATAGTCTTATACAACACAGCGGAAAATAAAAGATAACTCTCTCGTGGAAGCTCTAACACAGGGACGATCAACTGGTTGACCACAAGCCTAATAGTCCTCAGGAAACTCATCATATCCGTTGTCATCTATTACCCATCCGGGATTTTTATCCAAATATTGAAAGTAAACAAGCGTAAGTACTTCCTGTACTTAACAAGATAACATGGGGTTATGAAAGCTCAAAAAGGTTGACTCTGGTTTACTGCGGTTAGCACTTTTAGTAAGTCAAGATTTTATCATTAACTATTATCAAGTTATTCTTAAGCCCCATTTAATCCCACTTGTTCAGATATCAGAATCAATTGTGTCACATTATCATCATAGAACATCATAAATGATCAACAATAGGTAATCATTTATTCTGTGAGTTTTTCGGGCCACTCGTGACCGTGAGCATGGCTGTTATAACAGTTTGTAACCCTCTGCAGAGGTTGTGCACATTCATCGCGAGTCGTGATTCCCATATGCCCGGGTTAATTACTCCCATATCACTGCCAAGGTGAGCGGGCATGGTACACTATGAAGCCATTTCATAGGTTTCTCTAACAAGTTAGGGCCGCTAGGTTTCCTCGGCAGGCAGATGTAGGAACCCCCCTTTCCTATGGCACATATCCATCGCGGCTATACACATAGGAACAGAGGCAGTCCTATACCCAACGTGGCAAGCCCCTTTTGCGCCATAAAGGTAACCTCTAACAATCTAGAAAAGGTCCTATTACTGAGCTAAAGTCAGAGCCATATGACCCTCACGGTTGCACTGTCAGTCCCAGCTTTTGCCGACAGATAAGTCCTTATGGAGGGCCGAGAGCATCATGATCGAAAGTCATTTTCTCCTTCACCCTATAATCTAGTTGTTTAAAAGTCAATTTTACCTTTTCGTTCCATAGAACCATTATTTCATTATGTAGATCATGTATAGTTACATTGAGCGTTAGCAAACTACCCATATGCATATAACTCATAGGAGAACAAGGAACAGGATAATCAAACACTAGGATGTCCTTACGGTTATCAAAATTAGACACATGCAAATGAGTAATTAATAAATGGTGAATAGGCATCAAGGTAGATCCCATGCTATACTTGCCTTGGTTACCAAACTCCTGCTGGTCCTACTGATCGTCAAAGAACTCTTGGTCTCCAACGTTCTTCTCACTGTCTGAACGCAACCAACACGGCAACATACAACATTCCAAAGGCATTCATGCAAAGCAAACAATCCTATTATTAGAACAGTACACAAGCAGTATAGAAAACAAGATAAAATGTTTATGAAAAGAATCTATGTCTCGCTACGATCACATCAATGCGAAGTTCACAAAAATCGGAGCTAAAATGCGAAAGTTATGAATTAAACGGGGTTTCCTATAGCAATTTATTTAATTAAACCTAACCATGAAATTTAAAAGTTGCAAACATGGATAACAGTGGTACTATCACGTAGATGATGAAATTACAAAACTAACGCAATTTGAACGGGTCGATTCAGAGCTAAAACAACGATTTTATGAGCAAAACATTGAAGTGGCATTTCTGTAAATAGAATGTACTATTTTCAAATTTAAATAAAATTAAATCTGGATTTAATCAAAACACCCGAGGACTGTGGGTTTGATTAGGCGAAACCAGGGGTCTCTTTAGCAAAATTACCCGCGAAGGGGTATCGGCCTCTCTGGACCGTTGATCAAGCAACGGACGGCTCGAATTAGATCTGGGGGAGAGAGAAAAGGTGGCCGGCAGCGGGAACAGTGGCAGCCGCGGCGGCTCAGCAATGGCCGGCGGCAAGGAACACGCCGGCGAGCGGGGAACTCGGCCTACAGGCCACGGTTTGCACATCCGAGAGCACCGGAGGATAGCGGGGGTTCACGCGACCTCAGCTAGGCCGAGAAGGCGGCCGGAGGAGAGGGCCGAGGCGGCGGTCGCCATGGCCGGCGATGCGAAGCTCTCGGGCGTACGCGGCTAGAGCCCTAGAGGCCAAGATTTGCGAAAGTAAATGCATGGGGAGAAGGAGGGGAAGGTGACGAAGCTCACCGCGGTGACAAACGCAGACGAAGGCGGCTCGGGGATGGAGTTTTCCGAGCTCGGCGGATCTCGGTGTTTCCGTGCAACAATTGTAGCTTCCGCGGGCTTGAGCGAGTGCGAGAGGGAGCGGGGAAGGCAGCAGGGGGAGCGGGGACGGGCTCTGCTCCGTTTTATAGAGGCCGGGGGCGGGGAGACGCTCCCATGACGCGCGATGTGGGCGCGGAGCGACGGTTGCGGCTTGACGCGCGCGGTGCTGGAGGTTGGGGATGGCGCCGACACGCGGGCCCAAGCCGTCAGCTGCAGGGAGAGAGAGGGGCGCGGCAACGGTTGGGCATGCGATGCTGGGCCGCGCGAAGCAGTAGCCAGCTCGCCCGGTTGGGCCGGCCTAGGAAGAAAACGGGAGAAGGGGGGAAAGGAGGAAAAACGAGCGGGCCGGCGGGGAAATGGCCTGCGGGCCGAAAATGAGGAAAGGGGGGGAAGGAATTTCCTTTTTTTCTTTTTATTTTCTAGAGTTTTAGCAAACCATTTTCAAATTGATTTTGTATCCAAATTCAAATTTGAACAAAACCACCCATCATAGAAATAAATATGCAACAACATGAATGCATCAACATGTTTCTATCCTTATATTTACTTTTAATTTCATAAAAAATATTATTTCATAAATTGGAAATGCACATATAATTGCATAAATAAATCAAATTTTACTATTTTAAAAGAATGCATATTTTAGGGGGTTACAGTTGACTCCTCGAAAAGCAAGAATGACATTCTTTTTGGGAGCATATTATTACTAAAAATTCTTTATAAAATGTAGCTTTCATTTATTGCCTATTTTCATTTATAGTTGGACTTTATGCACATCAATCTATGGTTAGTTTGACTTCTTTATTAACACAATTTATATTCAGCTTATTTTGTGGATGAGACTTTAGGATTTAATACAATTACATTAGTAGTTTTATTTATTCGAATGCAATATTTCACTAATAAAAGGCTATGTTTTCATCTACAGAACAAAGATGGTTCAGTTTGTACATTTGAATGCCAAAGAACTTATTCTTGGCTAGAGGTGAGTATGTTTTGCGAAGTTGCATGCTGTTGAAAAAACAAAAATAGGACTTTGTAAAAATGTTTACATCTATGTGCAATAATGAAAATCAGTAGCGTATCATCTTCTTCTAAAATGTCTCCAAGTGAGAACAGGGAGTTTATGAACAACTTGATTTGCTTATTGTTTTGGAAAGAAAAGTAGCACATAACCTCTTCAAAAACAAGATAAAAATATTCGATAGTTATTTTGCAATATTGGACTTGACCGGTTGGGAAAATCAACATAATGTTTTATCTCTAGAGCTCGTCAATACACATTTTGATGCGAAAAAACTTGGTAAGCAAACACCTGTAGGTCGGATCAAGCAGTTTATGAGCATCTGATAAATAATCCAAACTACCCAACAATATTGTTCGTAAAAGTTGTCATTGCATTTTGATAGAGGTCTGGTCATGCTGCTGATAATATAGCTCCATGTAGACTGACATTTGTTTCATTTGGCATCCTAGATTCTGAATCCTTTGGAGAGTTTTCGAAATATTGTCGCCGATTACCCGTAAGAACAATGACGACTCTTCTAAATATGAATCTCATGTTGCCATTTCAATTTGTTTTGAAAACTAAATCACTCAATTCATCCATTGGCAGAACGGTTGAATGCACATCCTCAGTGTTGCAGGCTTTGATATTATTTGGGGATTTTAATTCAGAGTACCGCAGTAAAGAAATAAAACAAAATGTTAACAAAGCTGCCATATTTATTGAGAGCAATCAAAACAAGGATGGATCCTGGTTTGTATGAAAGCATCTTCTATTTTGTATGAATTATCTGTTTTTTTTGCTCTATGTCTAATAATGACTAAATAAGCAATTACCTGCAAGGTACGGCACTTGGGGAATATGTTTTGTCTATGGGACCCTCTATGCGATAAAAGGCTTAGTTGCTGCTGGAAGAAATTATGAGAACAGTATTTGCATTAGGAAAGCATGCAATTTTTTGCTCTCAATACAACTCAAAACTGGTGGCTGGGCAGAGAGCTATCATTCCTGTGAAAGACAGGTGAAGAACATTATTTCATTTTACATAGATCTTGTCATCAGTTACTTAGCAACAGTCATGAACTCGTGTATAGAGAGCACCCTATCAAAGAAAGAGCCTAATACATATGCGTGTCTATTCACAAAGTTTTGGTTTCAATATGCATAGACATATTCATTTCGTTACTACAAATTACAAAAAGATGAGTACTCAATTGTCATTAGGTCTGTTTGGAGACGTGTCACACACACACACACACCGCATGGGAAAGGTCCAACTAGGAATGGGTGGGCCGAGCCTGCTGAGGAAGAGACTCAAACTGGATGAGGTACATGGACTACTTCGAAGACAAGATATCGACTAGATAGCCTTGGGAGCCAAGAAAATTGTATTGGTCCACTCAATCCGATAGGATTTTCCTTAACAAACTAGGAAACCATATGTTGTTGATGGAGAACAACTTAAATACAAACCATTTTAACTGAATTAACTAAAAACGAACAGTAAAAATAGGAAGCAATGAGATGAGAATCTATGCGAAACCAGCCTTCTGTCGTTTCACACGCGTATGTAGGAACGGTGAAACTTTTTGGTTACAAATCACTTGCCAGAAAGACCATTTGGAAGTGATTCAGCTGATTCTCACTAGAAACTAAAATGTTTCTTCTATCCAAACGCACGCTAAATATGTCTCGTGTTTTACCCCTCTGATTCCTTGCACACAAAAAAATTGATCTACTTGTCGGACAGAAAATCCTATAACACACGCGCACGCACACACACAGACACACACACACAAGCCAGCCACAATAAATTATTCTATAGCCACTTTGAGTTACCATAATAGACTGTACTAATTAACAAGATTACTATAACTCCTCCTAAATGATTTACTATAATATATGTTAAATATCACCATGAGTTATAGTAACACATGTATTGTAAATATGTAGTCACATTTTTGATACATCTATTTTGCTATGCATCTAAATATAATAATATGTCTAGATACATAGCAAAATTGACGAACCAAAAAAGTCAAAGCGACTTATAATTTGAAACGGATAGAGTACAAACATTATCGTAAATTGAGGTGGCCATAGAATAAGTTATTCTATGGCCGGCAACAGATTAGCCTGAAAGAGTTCTAAGTGCAACCATCGAAGGCATTGAACTAAGTTACCTAGCATTTTCAAAGTTTGTTAACTCATTTACATGGATTTTTCAAAATACTATCAATTTCCTTATAGCTAGTACTGATCCTAATCCTAGAAAACACTTGTTTTGATGATGCGCAGGTCTATGTAGAGGGTCTTAGCACTCATGCTGTACAGACTGCTTGGGCGATGCTAGCTTTGATTTATGCTGGACAGGTTTTATTTCTTGATCACATATATGTCATTTAGTGCATAGGACTACTCCCTTGTTACAAAAACAATGCAATGTATTTATATGTAATCAATCATCACAACATTTACGAATTTGCAAATACCTCGATGTGTTAGGTTCATCTCTTCAAAAATATTTTCGTAATGATCTTGGTTTACTAGATTCATCAAATAAAAATATGTTTGTGTTTTATATCATCATGGTATCCAAAGCATCACTGTCGACTACTAGTTGGAGTACCATTAATTATTTATAAATACATGTTGATTGCATCCACCTTTCTATTCTAATTTGTACAATTAGATGGAAAGGGACCCAACGCCATTACATCGAGCAGCAAAAGTATTGATTAATATGCAACTGGAGACAGGAGACTATCCTCAACAAGTGAGTTTTCCAAACATTGTTATGATGCAAAAGAAAAAAATGTACTCTCTCTCTCGTCATAAATATAAGTCTGTTTAGTTTTTCCTAAGGTCAAAGTTTTCTAACTTTGACCAGCAATGCATAAAAGTTTGTATGATCACGATTGCAGAAATATTGCGCTGCTAAAATCATGTAATTTCACAATGTATAATGCTTTTCATTTAATGTTATTTATTTTTGTAGACATACTAGATGGATTTATATTTATCATCATCGGTAGTATGAGCAATCTATTTGTTATGTCTGTGCCCAACTATGTGCCCCTCTTGATTTTGAGAGAACTCTACTTAGGACCTGTTTGGCACGGCTCCAGCTTTGAAAACACAGCTCCAGAGCAGGTGCTCCACCATGGAGTAGCTGTATGGTGGAGCTGAGCTCCCACCAAACCGTCCGATAGAGCTCCAACTCTGAGATGGATTCATTTGTAATTTTTGAAACACAAATAGGAACTAAAATAAAAAAGCATCTCCTTCTTCCTCTAGCATGCGGCAGACCGAGGGAGGGGCCGTGCCCGAGGACGCCGGGGCCAGCGCGGCATGGGGAGGGCCTCACCGCGGCCATGCGCGAGGTAGGCGAGGCTAGGCCTGAGGCTGCCACGGCCGGCGCGAGGGCGTGCGGCTGTGCCTGAGGCCGGCGCGACCGGTGTGAGCTCGGTGCTCGAGCGTGAGGCGGGGTGGGGCCGAGGTCGAGATGTAGGGTGCGAGGCGAGGCGGGGCTGGGTCGCCATGGCCAGCGCTGCCGGCGGCGGCCATGTCTGCCTGGGTGAGCACGTGCTAAGGGCGCAGGGACGGGGCGAGCGAGCGAGGTGTCGGAGGAATAAAAGAAGAAGCATGACTGTTCATTTCCCACTAATTAGTGGCAGTGGTAGGTAATTTCCACAACCTTCCCAAAATTAGAGTTTTCAGAGCGCCAAATCCATGGAGCACCCCCTTACTGATTCCCTATGGCCTAGACAAGGTAGTGTTTACTCTTATTTTGGTGATCCTATGCAGAAGCTAGGTATTTTCATGTTTATTATTCAATTATCCTACTATCACATTCCTAGGTAATGGCCTTTTAGATAGCTGTATTTGTTAAGTTTCAATGATGGGTGCCTTTGAGATTTCAATCAATTGCATTGTGTGTTCTGCATATATATAGTAGACAGGTCATATATACACTATTATATGTTTAGCTAGTTAGTTCCTACATTGCATGTTCATAGTTTCATTTTGTGCCTATATCTTATTGGAGATATCTCACCCTAGAATTATTACCTTCTAAGAGAAAAAAGTGTCGCCATTACATTTCCCATAACCTACCATCACTGACCATTTCTTTTGCATTTTGATTATAGGAACATGTTGGCAACAACAACTCCTCTGTTTACTTCAACTACCCCAACTACCGTATTTTGTTCCCTGTTTGGGCTCTTGGAGAGTATCACCGCAAATTACTTGCCAAGAGTAATTGAAGGGACCCCCATGCAATGCAAAAATATCATATGTAGTATTATGTCACATATTAAAGGAAAATTATATTGGAATCAATAAAACCACTTGTATTTTCTATCATGAAATGTAATTGGGTAGCCACATACAAGATTGCAATGGGCCATGTAATCATGTATAAGTATTGATTATGATGTATGCATACTATTCTGAAGACCCTGATCACAAATAAGTAACAATTAGATTTGTGTACAATCAAATTATCTAGACTTTGAAACGTTTTGGGTTTAGCATTTGCATGTGTAGCGTTTCCTCCACAAATAATTTCAGAACATATATTTTATATACTTCATAAACATGGTGCCACATGCATGTAATACTTTGGCCCATTAGTGTCCTGGATTCGGGTCGTTATTATGGAAAAGTGTAAATATGCAGTAAATCCTAATAATCTATTAATTGCTTCATGGTTTCTGTTCCATGTAGAATAAATTGATAGCCTTAAGACAGAGATTATATTATTAAGCACTGCATCCTTCATAAAAGCAGCAGGAACAATGTTGTAACAACAACAACTGCAGGACTACTAAACAGTTAGGTGCTTCCAGTCTATAACTCTATATTGATTTCAGATTTTGGTCTCGTGCAACTCTTTGTCATGATTTGTATAGAGCAAACTCTGCTTCTAGCTTTCTTTTTCCAAGAACCGGCAATCACACATTAGTAGAGAGTTCATTTTTACGTGGCATCATAACCACACTACCTCTTTCTTTGTCAAACACTCAACCTATAAGTTCAAATTTGCATACAAATTACAAATCAAAGGCGACATCACCAGAATATTATCTCTTTCAATAAAGTATAATCTAGTAGATAAGCCATAAATATTGGCCATAAGCTGGATGTCATCGGAAGTTTTAGGTTTAAAATGTTTTATGAACCCCACAACTGCCAACCATAACCATATGCCGTGATATTAGGTTAGGGCATGTTTGTTCTAGCTTTTTGTTGGCTTCTTCCAACCAGAAGCAAGAAACTGAAACAAACATCCTAGCTGTTTGAGCTAGATTTTGAAAACATGTAAATCTAGCTTCTGAGGAAACATACTAAAAGCTAAAAACCACACTAAGAGGAACTTTTTTTGGCTTTTGGGTGTGCTGAGAAGCTTTAAAAAATATTATAAAATTCAATAGCAAAAAGCTAGCAGCCAAAATCCCAAAGTTCGAAAGCCAGCTGCTTCTAAGCCAAAAGCCTAAAAACTGTAGCTCCAACAAAAAGACCCTTAAGGTGCTAGCGGACTTTGCGTAAGTAGGATAGCGGGCCAAATCCCATGGTAAAAGGGGTGACGGGTGCTTAGTTAAGTTATGGTGGACTTGATTTTATAGAGGGTGTTCAATTGGCTAGCTAATGATGTTACTTGTGCTTTGTTTTCTTGTCCTTTCTCTATAATTTCTACTAGTATCTCATATAATTAAGAATTGGGTCTTTTTGCTATATCTCCATCTCTTTTGTTCTTTTTATTATTGCCTACTAAACATTTAGTTCATCCCCAAAGTATGCCATACAAATACCTAGTTAATTGTAAGAGTTTTGCTCCGGTCAATGTTTTCCTAAACGGTAAACGGTCTTTACACGGTCGCCCTTCGTTTAGCGTTTAGGCTATTTACATGGTTTTTAAACGAAGTTAAACGGTTTTGTACTTTTAAAAAAAAATACATATAATTATATATGTGCATGTAAAAAATCAAGTATTCTAGTATTTATACATATTTATCCGAGTAAAAATCAATTATTTTAGTATGTATATATATTTATGCATGTGAAAAGAACCAAATATAGATATTTATGCATGTAACATATCAAGCGTACACATTTATAAATATAATAAACCTAAGTATACAAATTTATCCATACAAAACTGAACTAGATTTACCTCATGTTCGCCTAAACAGCCATTTAAACAGCTGTTTAGCCCGTTTAATGCTGTTTATCTCCGTTCTGTTTAGGCCGTTTATGTCGTTTTTCCCTTTTTTTGACCGTTTAAACGGTCAACCGTTTAATTTCCATTTACCCCCTAAACAAAACAATTTACCACCATTTACTGTTTACTGGCCGTTTAAACGGCCGTTTAATCCGTTTAGGCGAACACTGGCTCCAGTAGACCTCCAAAAAAAGTTTGCACAAATCCCATTTGGATCCATTCATTTTGGAGGAATTGGAATCTACTTAATGGACTAGGCTATTTGGCTTGGAATTTGACATTCTACAACTTTCCAAAGTTCACATATAAGTCTATCTCAAATTCATAGGTTAGGAAATGGAAATTGATTCTGAAGATCACCAATGCTATGTTTCTACTCTGTAAATTATAGCACGTTCTTTGGCTCGCTCCCTGTAAAACCCTAAAATTTGCTTTTCTTTCGAACAGAGTTAAATTCATTTAATTATGAATTTTTGTGTACATTTAAACCAAGGGAAAATAATAATCTTTATTGAAATTAAAATTCATCATAAGTTTAGCAACATGGTTGTGCATTCATGCTGTTGCATAGTATTTTTGTATTGTGTGGTTTGAAATTAGATTTCAACTTGATGTGAATTTGCATTCAAAAGTTGTTTGGAAATTAGAAAAAGATTTCCTTTCCCTCCCTTGCTTTTGGCCCAAGCAGCCAGCTTCCACCGCCTTGTTTTTTTCCCGCTGGCCAAGCTCGGCTTCATTCCTCTCCCGCAGGCCCAGTCGCCGCTTCTCTGGTTTTCCGCTGCGCGGCCTGCTTTGCTCTTCTCTTCTCCACAGCCTGTTCCAGCTTCTCCGCTGCAGCCGGCAAAGCAGTGCGCGCCCCGGCCCAGCCAGACGCGCTGCACCCTTCCCTTCTCTCTTCGTTTCACTGACGTCCCTGGTCCACCCGTCAGCGCCATCTTCCCCGTTCGTGTCCGGCACGGACACCATCACCACCGCCGCCCGACTCCACGCCGCCCACGTTTCCCCCTTCATTGCCTTGCTGTCCAAGTCCCCGCGCCTCATAAATAGCAGCCGCAACGAGCGCCTTTTCCCCTCATAGACTCTAGCCTGAGCTCTAGCACCATAGCCGCCGTTTGGATCTCGCCGAACCTTAGTACGTCCGCCCCGCCGTCTAGGTCGTCGTCACTACGTCGCCGTAGACCGTGCGAACCTCCGTGGTGTGTTCCCCATCCTCTCCTCTATCTCCTGGATCTTTTCGTTCAGCTAACCATGCACTGTGGTGCCCAAACCGCACACGCCGGCGAGCTTCTCGTCGCCGTCCATGGAGGACCGCCGCGCCGTCCCTGTTCTCGGCCGGCGACGCCCTTTGTTTTCTCTGTTCAATTTTGAGCCGTCCGATTTGAAATCAAGGGTTAGGATTAGAACATACCCTTTCGTTGGCAAATTTGCAAAAAGGCCATTATAAATATTCGAGTCTCAACCCGCCATCCCCGTAATCTTTCAAAAGAGCCCCTCGGATTTCTCATTTTAGAACCCGCAGCCCATAACACTTTTTGAGAATACGTTTTCTTCTTTAGAAAGCGTAGTTTCTTCGGTTTGGATCCAAAATACATTTTCACCTATTTACAGTTTTGCCACTAATCTTGTTTTAGCCATAAAATCTCCGTTTTAACTCCGATTTGATCCGTTCAACTTGAGTTAGGTTCGTAATTAAGTAATCTACATGTTCATACTACTGTTAGGTATGTTTTCAACTTTTAAAATTCAAGGTTAAATTTAATCTATTATTTTACTAAAGGAAATCTTGTTTAATTCATAACTTCTTCGTTTTAGCTCCGAATTTTGTGATCTTCGCGTCTGTGTGATCATAGCGAGACATAGATTCGTTTTACAAACTTTTTATCTTGATTTTATGTTGATTGGTGTACTGTTCTAATCTATATCTTTTGTTTGCTTTGCATGATTGTATGGATGCCTGTGTGGTGCTGTTTGATCTTGAGTAAACAGTGAGTTTTGCGTTGGTGATCTAGAGCAACTCTTTGAAGATCAAGACCAGCGGCGATACTTTGAATTAAGGCAAGTATAATATGAGGCTCCTTGTTACCTATTCACCTTAATGCAATCTCAATTCATATGCATATGTTAATAAACTGCTTGGAGTCTACCTACCTTGATATTGATTATCCTGTCCTTGATATACCTATGGTTTTTGCATGTGGGTAGTATGCTCAGTTTGCTCCAACTAATATCGATTAAAGAATACACTTAAAGATATATGCAACATGGTATTAAAAGATGCTTTTTAGCAACATGGAACCAAGGGGGCTAGAGCATTGGGCCTTTTCTTAGGGTGCTCTAGTTTCTCTCCATAAGGACTCATCTTTAAGTAACAACCTAGGACTTACAATACAACCATGAGGACTACATGGCTTTGGTCTTAGTCTAGTACCTTGCTCTTTCTAGTTTATAGCAGTTTACCAAAAGGGCAAGAGGGGCATACCGGGCTGGGTATGGGCCTCATCCCTAGGGTGTGTACTATGATGCGTGTATCAGTGCCACTTTTGGAGATGACTCCATAACACTTGGGAGATGAAATCCTTAGCGACTGCACCTTATTAGAACGACTGGGGAAAAGCTTCGTAGTGTACCCTGCCTTCTCACCTCGAAAGTGTTTTGGGAGTTATAAACCCGGGCATATGGGTAACACGACTCATGGTGAAAGTGTACCATCTCTGCAGAGTGTAAAACTGATATATCAGTCGTGCTCACGGTCACGAGCGGCCTGGATCCTTATTGAATAGTTGGTTACTCGGATGGTTTGGGTTATGATTAAAATTGTTGATATCTCTAATTATTCATATTTGGGATCCTAAGCATAACTTAGCAACTTATGATTAATAATAAAATATGACCAATTAAAAGTTCTTACCGCAGTTCAGCCGTGTCGAGCCTTTTGATCCTGCATCCTCTCATGTTATGCTTGCTAAGCGGTAGTAGCTTATGCTTGTTTTATTTCAATACTTTGGCAAAATCTCGGATGGGTACCAGAAGGAGGTTCTTCAG